CGTATAAAGACAAAAAAAGAACTGCATGCGAAGAAATTTAAAGATGTTTCTAGTTTCAAATGAAATTATTCTATTTCGTTGTCGTGTATCAAGAGATTCATTTTTGAAACGAACGAGTCTTTTTCTAGTCGGGCAATTTTCACTTGATACAAATCGCCTAAATATCTCGTTTCGCTGAATAAAAAGATATCTCATATTCAATTCGAATAGTATCGAAGGACAAATACAGTCCGTTTCATGTAATGTGAGCTGTTGTAACCTTTAGCACTTACAATTGAAGGTTATTGACATGACATTTAGTTCCACTGAAATCGCAAACTTCAACGAAAGACAACATATTATACATGTAAACAAAATATGTTTGCTATAGTACTACCACCACGTGTCAGAGAATTTGTAACTATATTAATACATTGTTTATAATGCGTTGTTCGACAGAAGAGGAGATTAATGTAATTTTACACCAAGATTCGAGAATGATTCTGAAGAGACGACCGAAGGAAATATATAATAATATGTAAGCGATGGTGTTTCAGGTGAGGAACATTCTATATTTGATAATGCTGAAAAATAATATTAATCAGAGTGTTGAGAATAACTGCGTCGCGTATATGCACATATATATATATATATATATATATAACGAACACACGCGACCAATTACGTATGTCGCGTTCGTTACCAGTGTATTTACGAACGCAGCAGCACGCGGACGGCCTATTTTGGCGACCTCTCACGCTCATTGACGGAATCGCGAAAAATTGACGCGGTCGGCTACGATGCGCGAAACGGCATACAAACGATTGGGAAATAAAACGAAAGGAAAACTGAAACGTACACCGGCCGGCGTATGAACGCGTATACATACCGGTGGCTCCCTCGTTATTATGAAGAGCAACGAACGAGCGAGAGTGGCGGATATATTTGATGTATCAATAAATTATAATGAATTTTGGCACATGGAATGTTAACAGGCGCGCGTGTTCATAAAATTTCGCGTGTGCGCTTATGACGAAGCATCCATAACAACCTATGTCAATGCACACCGCTTTCGCTCTGATATTTTAGGGAATTCCAATATATATATATATATATATATATTGTGAAAATGTCCGGATTAAATTAATAATCGATTTTACAACCAGAGGTCCGATTTATTAGCATGCTTCTGTTGTACATAAAATTCCACTTATTCTACTCTTCTCCGCTACAAAAATTTCCCCTCTCTCCCTCTCACCCTCCCCCCCTCCACACACACACACACATACTTCATTCCTTTTCCTCTTTCTTCTCCTCTATCTCTTCGTTCCTCTTCGAACGTGTTCCATCACGCCAAGCTCTTTCGGCCCAGAGATTTCGATCGATCGTTTTCAATGCGATGTCATTTCGACGAGAGCCACGGCAAGCGAACACTCTCGACGCTTAACGATCGTTTTATAAAATGACGTGACCCTCGTAATTTCATTATGCCTTAATCCGACGAACGCTCGCGCTGCGGCGAGCGAAAAAGAGAAATTGCCCGCCACGCTTGTTGGAATGAGACCGAGCAACAGGGGCGGGAGAAAGGCGAGGGTTAGCATGGTTAAAATGCTGAAAAAAAAAAAGGGAGGGAAGGTAGTAGGAATCTCTCCTCGATATTCAAGAGTGGCACTCGCAATATTAACGAGCGCCTATTAGCGAGTGGCAACCGGGAGAAGGAGGAGGAGGAAGGGGGGGGGGAGAATGTAGGGAAGGGAAATTCGTTTTCCTTTTTCTTCTTTCATTCGTTTCTCTTTTTTTTCTTTTTTATTGAAAAAAGATCGACGCGAATCTCCCGTCAACACTTACTACATATTAAATCATCCAGCATCTTTTACTTTCACTTTCTTTCGTGAGACTGTCCCAAAATGCTAGACGTTTCTCGACCTGTGAATTACATTTTTGTCGTAATTGACAAGTCACAATACGATCGAGGTTTATTTTATCGTACGAGAAAATCCTATTTCGAAGAAATAATAATAACAACGTACCTGACAATCACGTTTCTTTTTCTACGGTTTTACGAGGAAGAGATTTCAGAGATTTCCGGATTCTTAGTTTAATTTCATAACACGGCGAGGAAAACGTCGATTTCATTATCTCGGTTTTATCCCGTATGCGATAAGCGATTTATCGCGTCTTGATGCATCGGACGTTAACATTGGTCTGGCTATCGTGAAACAAACAATTAACATCGTCAAACAATCTAACGCGTTGTTTCGACAATAAATGTTCCAAGTCCTTGGGAAAGATAGGCATAATGCAACTTTCAACTTTTCGCATGGTTGTCCAAGATCCGATCCGTGCTTTGAAATTTCAATGATTCATCATCGATATTGTCTCATCCAATTTGTTTGGAAAACGTTTTGAATAAATTCTATACGAATGTTTTGTTTACCACCAAGAACACGATGATATTGTTGAATATTTGTTCTGTACACGACATGCTCATCTGTGAAATCCTGATCGATTCTATAGTAAAATATAAACGTTTCAAATTATTTTATCAATAGTTAATAAATGGACTACTTAGTTGTAGTTGTTGCGACATTACTGAAATAGCATTAGCAAATCCGTTTCCATGAAACTAATTGCAGTTGTTTATCGGTCGACAAACAGTATTTTACGCGTTTCTCGAACACCACTAATCACGAGAATATACGATCGATGTACGAATAAAGTATCTATGCTTATGGCTGACATAAGTTGCGAAATCATGGATCGTAATATTAAGAGATGATTAAAAATCTCGAAACAACACGAAGTAAAATTTTTAAGTATGTTTTTGTGTAATAATTTTGAAAAGGTAAAAAAAAAATACGTGGGTCGAATTATTTTTATCCTAGTCATGATATTATTGATGTCAATTGAATGACGTAGACTTTTCAATTCAAAATCATATTCACATGAAATTATTTCAATTACTTTATTAACATTATATACTATCTATCAAATATTCATATACGATTATCCCTTAACATTAATACAAATGTATAATTTGGAATTATCTTTCTTTTGCATTAGGCTACTTGATTTTTTGATTAAAACTGATGAAATCTCGGTGCAAGGTTAAAATCATTTTTTTGTATAGATTATCAGAATTAAAATACAGTACCTTCATTCGTATAAAATGTCTGCTTCTGAATTATTTAGTATAACGCATCGCAATCGAAATTATCTACATAAATTACAAAAAAACATATTACTGGTTTATAACGTATTATTCAACAAAGCTTGTGTACAAACTATAGTCTTAGATAATTCATGATTATAATGAAAGGTATTAAATCGCATTTCGTCAATTTTCTTTTGCTCAGCTATCACCACAGATGACTCCATACTTGGTTTCCTTTTCTCACAAATCAAATATTGGATTATAAGATATATAATATTGATTGGTAGCATCATCGTTATTAAAAGGACATTTTAATATCGACAACACTCAAAATACCCCACAATATGCATAGGTCGCAAGATAATACATTACAATCTGTATACCTAGGTGTCATTTGATTAAGAATACATTCATTTGCATAACAATAACTCTACAGAAAACGCAGTTTAATACGAAAGTAGTACTTTAATTATAGTATCAGATTGGGGTCACTCGATGCTTAGAGTATAATGGGAGAGAGCAAGTGTAGCCAAATTTCGCTATTTTCAATAACGTATATGTAACGTATAATTATTTAACATATTTATATATTAAAAAGTCAGTAGTACTTTTTGTAAAACTACAAGCTATGTCGATTAAACAAATAGTATAATGCACGATATTTGAAAATATTTGCATTAAATTCACATATACAATAATAAGAGTTAATAGCATTTGTGATTATATGTTACGAATATATTTTTGTATTCCTTGGTCATTGCAATTTCTCACTTTGTTTAAACACTACCTGGTTTCTCCTTTATAAATACTCTAAGCCATTACGAATTGTTTTCTCTTTGTAATTATTATTTTGGTGGCCTATCTTGGTCAGCAAAATATTTTGTTGCATTAGGAAAACGCAAAGGATCTGGAAAGTCTGGTGTTCCCAGTCTATGTGGATTCAAGCAATCTCTAATTGCTTGACCAAATGCACGTCTAACACCGGGATCTACAGCTACAGCAATCGCAGCACCTTCTACTTCTTCGACACCTGCCCGAGTTACACCTTCTCTCACTAAACGTTCCATAGATGCTGCTATTGCTGAATGATTGGGAGTAGGACTAACTAATAATCGTGGCTTTTGCTGTTCAATAAGTTTGCGCCGTTTAGTGGGTAGTGTACCTAAGTAAGCATCACTAAGTGTTGCTACACCACCGTTTGTTATTCCTTGCATTTGTAATTGGCGTCGTTGCCTTAATCCATCGCGAGCAATTATTGGTACCCAATCCTAAAACAAACAGCTTTTTATATCACTTTTGTGTATGGTAATAATAAAAATTTGCATACATAAGTAGATGTATACATACTGAAGGCAATGCTTCATGACCTGGGAACGTTTCTGGAATTTCCTCCCTATCCTCTGGTAGAGACGATGCTTCGAAAGTTGTCCTTTCTTGTACAATTTCTGTCTCCATAGGCTGAAATCATATTTAATCGTTAGATTTACTTTATTTACACATTGACCGTAAAAGTGTATGTACTATATGTAACTTGCCTCCACTTCGGATTGTGGTTGTGAAGGTTGATGTGTTGGGGCTGATGGAACCGATGCTGCTTCAGAAGGTGCATCTTTATATATTAAAAGTGGAATAATTTCTGAATCTGGAGGTTGTGTAACTCGTAAAGAATAAGTACGAAACTGAACAATGAATGCGTTTAGCATCCATCGACGTACTGTAGGATGAATACCCTCTAACATTTCGGTCTATTTGAAGAGTAAGTTTCGGTCAATTATTAAAGCAAAAAAATATATACGTGTTATTTAACTAGATACGCATGATATGTAACATACCACAAAACGTGATGCAATTACTTCTAATCCTGCCTGTCCACCACGAATAGAATATCGAAGTACTGCACATAATTGTCTACCCATATTATTCACGGTGTTGAAAATTTCCTGTCCGAATCTAGCATCATCAATATCTGAAACAAAAAATAACGTATAATGTCTCAAAATTGGGGTTCGAAATTAAATATTTTGCTAATGTACAATATTACACACCATTATTAAACAGATGTTGTAGTATATCTTTAATATGACGGCGAAGCAAAGCTTCAACAGTAGCACAAATATCTACATGCTGACCGTTTCTACTATTAGTTTCTTCTTCTGTATTTAATAAAGCCTGGAAATGTGGTCTTAATTGTGATAACAATCGTTCAGTAGCTTGTTCCTGAAGTGTCTCCGGTGCAACATTTGGGAAAGAATATTGGAAGAAATCTTGTAATGGTCTTCTAAGATGGGAAATTGGTTCTGATTGACCAATTCGTAATCTTATTAATCCTTCTAATGTCATATTTTGTACCTAAAAAATTTAAAAAATTATTTCAGAACCTAAAACAAGCACCCCTTATACAAGTTTCATAAAAATATTTTTTATTTACCACTAGTACAGATAAATTTACGAGGAAATTTTCTGCAGTTTCAGAATCTTGAGATGTAAAAAGACTCATTTGAATACCTCTGCGTTCTAATAAATCCGCAAGAGTTAGATCCCCTCCAGCAGAATTACCAGTCCTAATATTGGAGAATGATATAAAAATTAATGTTGTATTTAGTAAATTCTGCATATAATATACGCACCCATTTCTGATAATTCCTACACGAATATTTCCACCCGTACGTATTTGTACCATATTACCAAGACCGTCTGGTGAGTTAGAATCTAATAGCAAAATTTTTTAAATGTTATTTAAAAATCTTAATTTAAAACGTCAAAAATACTTCCTAAAACACATTACCTCCTAAAATTTGTTGTTGTAAGTACATTAATGGATCGTAGATTGGATTTGTTTGTGATGTCGTTGATGCTGTAGTATTTGTAGAGCTGGTATTGCTAGTGGCACTCGAAGTTGTCGCTGTAGTATAATAAAATCATTTCACAGTAGTATAATAAAATCATTTCAACATAGAATAGTAATTAACAGGTAACAATAGTTTAATTACACACCTGTTTGTGCTTGGGATTGTGTTTCAGACATAGTTTGGTTTGTTCGTGTTCCTTGTGACGTAGATGTAATAGTACTAGAAGTTGTAGTCGATGTGCGACGGACATGATGTGAATTACAAGAAAGGAATGGATCGAAGTCGAATGCTTGTCCTATACTCATCCCAACACCTAAAGGATGAGTTTGTTGATGAAATACATGTGGACGCGATGTACTTCTAGTTTGTGTTGCTGTAGTGGGATGAGTACCAACATTGCTTCTATAATATGTAAAAAATATCACATGTATAAATTAAAAGTATAAATATGTAGATTAATAATATTTCGTAATAAACACACCGTGCTTGTGTACTTTGCCCGGCATTTGTGTTTCCACTATCAGTTGATGCAACAGTTAATTGACTAACTGTTAGAGGGTTTCGAGTTATAATTCTTGTGTTAGCTGGACCACCTTGTACCATGTGACCAGCAACAGCATGCATCAAATTTCGTATGAAATCAGGAGGAGGAGCTGAACCCCAGGAAAATGCACCAGTAGTACCATCTATTCTTCCTATAATAAATAATAAAATAGAATAAGTATCATAAATTAAAATATTAAAACTATTAGTGAAAATTTACCGCTATTATTGTTGTTATTGTTGCTATTATTATTATTTTCACCAGCTTGAGGCTGTTCATTTCCAGGTGGAGTATCTATGTTACCTTCAGGACTAACTTCCATCAATACTTCAACATTATTGGGTAAGTTAAACACTGTACCTGTAACATAATCCTAACTGTCTTATCTAAATAATTTGTCTTTTTAAATAATTGTTGCACATACCAAATGGAGACTGTGTCGAATCTAATGGTGATTGTTGTTGTTCAGCTTGTTGTTGAGTACCAGATTCTGATTCTTGTTGTTGATTGACCTCATCAGTATTAACTTCATTTGTTTCCAATTGAGTAGGTGTACTTGCAGATTCTCCATTTTCTTCATTACCATTGTTATTATTTGCATTACGGCCATGTAAACTAATATGTGCCTGATAGAAACATGATATAAAATAATTTTATTACACCTGGAACAAAATTGAAATACTACTGTCATTCATCCTCACCTCTACCTGGATTGGTATACCCGGCTGTAAAATAGCTGAATGTTGAATAATGATCGGTCTACATCGCAAGTTCCTGGGTGGCTGTTGACTCATATCGACAATTATATCGCTTAAAGCATGACAAGCGTGTGACATATAGTGTAAACATTCGCTTACACCATTTACAAATGTCTGAGTTTCTTCAACACGTCTTCCCTAAACACAAATGATTTTTTTTTTTATTTCAAACAATTCATACACGCATTTATGAATACTATTTACTTACTTCCGAACTTAATACAGGATCATCACGCATAAGTTTGCAATAACGTTCTGTATGAGGTCGTAAACGAGATTGTGTATCAATTAATAGGTCCAATAATTCTGCCAATTGTGGAGGGCGTGGAAGTCTTGAAAAATAACAGATTTACGAATTATATAATTATATATTTATAATAACTAAGTATGAAAAGATCTTTACTGTTGTGATGATCGTCGATTAGATTGTTCATCATTACTTGATGTAGAACCTTGCTGTTCGGATTGTGGTTGTTGTGATTGTTGTGGCTGCTGTGTATCTGATTGATTTTCTTCATTAGTCTCATTTGCTGGTCTTGATTCAGTGTTTTCATCATTATTTCCTATATTCGCAGTTAATAATTATATGTAATGATCTACACTCAGACTATTTATTTTATATTTTTATACTTTTTATATACAAACCTCTAAGTAATGTAACATTATTTGCACCAGCTGCAGATAAGGCAGCTGCTATTGCAGCTGCAGCGGCCTCTGCCAATCGGGCGCCACCATTTGTTGTGGTTTCGTTATTACTAAAAAGACTAAATAATTTATCAATATATTTTATTACTTTCCATAGGAATTATAAAACCTTTTTCTCCATTTACTCACTATTGTTCTGCATCTAATTCCGACTCCTGCATCAATTGACTTAATGGCGGTCGATTATTTTCAGCTGCGGAAAGATTAGCAGATTGAGAGGGACTTTCAAGTCGATCCATAAGGCGATTCGCGCGTTCAAGCATGTGTCTTGCAGCAATTAATCGACCATTAGACAGACTGTTGCTGAACTGAGGTACTGGTAGTCCTATTAAATGAAATAAAAAAATCTCTAATGACAAAAACTTCATAGGAAAAAAAAAATAAGAACAGAAAATTTTGAAATTATAAATTATATCAGGCGTATATTAGTTTTAGTACCATGTCCTTCCACAATTTCAGCTGGTACTGACATTGCACCCAAATACATAGCATTACCATGCATTTGAGCACGAGTGAGTCGGTAATGTGTTCTTTGTGGATTTTGCCACGCTTGTGATCCATGATTCTGACCTTGACTTTGACCTCCATCATTTCCACGTTGACCAGGTTGCGGTGGTGCACGTTGTACCAAATGTATAACTTTCCCATTAACATCTAAATTATGAAAGATCGTAAATAAATGAAGAACTCGACTCTATATTTGGAATTGTAACATAGCATAAACTTCTTTACCATAATCATTTAATTTTTTCTCATCTTGCAGAACTCTACCACAATAAATAAGTCTTTGTGAATCTGCTGGTACTGCCACTGTTTCTGCTATATATTCTTTGAAACCTCGAACTGTAATTTGCTATACAAAAAATCCAAGTCATTCGTTTTCTTTTAGATAAACGCAATTATCTTTTAATTGTCACAGAAACATTTTATAGTGACAGTTCCAAATCCATCAAAAATTACTGTCTTTGCATAATTATATAAAAAGGAGTATTTCGTATTAATTATTTCACATTAATCAGCTCTGTTGCATCATGCTTAATATTTCTAATTATTTCTAGCAATAATAGTAAAATGTTTTTTACATTAAAAATATGATATAAAGAAGATACTATAATACTGCTAGTGCTATAATTATATTTATTATACAACAATTTATTTCAATCTAATAATACATACTGAAATTGTCAAAAAAATCAATGTAAGAATTGAAAGACTGTATATTACTTGTACAAATGATAAATCATAAAAATAATCACAAAAGTACCAAGAATAAATATTGCTCCACAAGGATAGAGTAATTAGTGCATATGCTCAAAGAAAAAAAAAAATCGTATCTATAATAATTATTTCTAGAATATACAATATGTAAAAATAAAAATACGAACAAGTACATAAATACTCATGAGGCACCCTATTAAGAACATTAGAATCGACAATAATGTTAATTATAAACACAGGAAAGAAAAATACTGCTCTGTAAAAATGGCAAAAGGAATACTTACATCGTCTTCCAAGGAGAAAGCATGATTTTGTGAATCCAAAGTCTTTACCGTAAGGTCAATCATTTTTAATCGGCCTTAACAGTTACTGTGTAACTAAAATCGAAGAAAATGAACAATAGTATTAAAACGGAGATGCGTAATATAGAATCGTCTTCTCCTACACTCGCGCAGACACGTAGATACAAGACTGTAAACGATACTCGATTAGCAGCTAGTATCGAGGAGAAATATTCGATATCCAAAGCATAAGGAAATAGTTGATCTTAATACAAATCGATTCGAAAATACAAGGAAGTTACTTAAATTGATTCCAGTACTCCGTTCTTATCGTGTAATCGTTTTTTTTCGTGAACTTACCGATAAAATTTTACAGCAACGGTACGATATGATACACGTTATTTTACCCAGAATTCGCTTTACCAGTGACCCTACAAGCGCTACCAATCCATCGGTTCAATTATTCCCTAGATAGAACAGAATCTGGAATTCTGAAGAATCATATTTCTGCATTACCTACCTGTCTCAAAGTTTCTCCTGCATCTGTTAGATGACACTACTAAAATAAGCAAACGACAAAATATAAATCGATTACTGGTTTCGTCGATTTGAACTAACGTGTCAGAATTTAACGGTTGCATTGATCATAGAATTCACGTTAGTGAAGAATAACAACGAGAGAAGTACGTGTTAATAAAAGTTTCAATAATTGTATATTAAATTAACGCGAACATTTTCTTTACAAATGTCTGGCATTATCTAAGCAAGATATTTCTTCAAAATACCTTGTATGTAAATTATCTATATATTTGATATTTTCTTCTTAAAAATAATAACCTCCTCTCGATAATTGAAATCACCCTAAAATACAACGTTGACATTTGTTCTTTTCAGACTGTCTGTATGATTCGATTGGCATGTACAAATACAGAAGAGAAACAGTTGGTTTTAAACTTTTTCTACTTCTATTGATTCGAAATGTAGGGAAGAAGTAAATATAGGAAGAATGATACCGACGTATCATTTAAGTATGTCAGGACAGAATCATTCAAATGCACGTTACAAATTCATTTACTTTCGATCTTACTGTACCTTAAGGTGTTCCTTTGGG